ATCTAGTAAATTAAGTATTTTACAAAAAAAAAAAAACCTGCGAAAAACCCTTTTGGCTCTCAAATATGTATCAAAAAAGAAAAAAAAGAAAAAGCCTTCCAAATGATACGATTATTGCAGTTTGAAATTTCAAGGTGATTTCATTTTTAATTATTACAATTTTGTACCAAAATTGTTTTTTTTTTATTTAGGCTTAAAAGAAAAAGGAATAAATTGTTACTTTGGTAACATTGGATTAAAGTGATAATAAGAGGGAATAAATCAAATTGCAAATATTTGTTCATTTAATTGCATTTTGTAAAGCTTACATGATTCAAATCATCATTATCAGATTTGAATCCTTATCGATTAAGATTGAAATTTTAAATTATGACCCTTACCTAATCCTGATAATTCGAATGTTTCTTAAGAAACTCTAAAAATATGCTATAATATATGACTGGTGAGTGTTTTTACTGAATATGAATGAAATGATATGCTTTTTATAAGATGAAGAAAAATAAAAAATGGAATCTACTTAGCAAAATAACACAATAAGATTAATGCTTGATATGTAAATGAATATCTGCAAAATATTTCTGACCTTAGAAAAAAAAGAAACAAGCATTTGTATGAAAAGGTCAATTTAAATGAACTTGTTTTGGGAACCAATTGCTAATGGAATTTCTGATATATTATGAAAATGAAAGATTAGAAGATTTAGAGAAAAGATTTGACTGTGTCAAAAAGATACACATGAATTGATACAATAAAAGAAAAGATGATTGTTGGAAAAGGAAGCACTTAATTTATGCAATAAAATATTTCAGATCAAAATAATGAAAATATTCAAATACTGGCAGTGATTTGTAATCGATCGGTCGAATGATCCAAGATCAATCGTTACCAGTGATGAAAAGAAGAAAATATCGTAATGGATAATTTAACTAAATATGATGAAAGATTTAACTAAAAAAATAATTGAAAAGTTTCGATGACATGAAAATCAGTGTTTCATTCATATTTATCATTAAATTTAAAAATTTCTAACTCCATCAAAGTTTCATTTAGGATCCGTTAGTACTTCATCAAAATTGATATTAATGATATCAAATTGATATTAATTTAATATTGGTTTTCAATAGTTATATCAATTTTTATTCAATCAATTGAATGGAACGTCAATCAACTGTATAAAAACTTTACCATCAATGAGAAGGTTGAAGGTCAAAAAAAAGTTGAGATGTTAGAAGAAATGGATAAGAATGCACCAACTCACCATTTCTCACATCAAATTCCGTACCATTTTGAAAATAGAAATTGGTAGAAAAAAAGAGTATAGTTGATAAGTATAGCAAAGTTCACAAGTATTTTATCAGCTGGTATAAATTAAGAATTTTCTCTTTCAATAATTATATCAATTTTTATTCACCAATTGAATGAGTATTAGCTATTAATATCAATTTTGATGAAGTGATAACGAATTAAAAATGAATAACTAATTCAAAATTCAGATATGAATATAAAATTAAATTTACAAAAAATATCCATATAAACCATACAAGAAAAAAAGGAAAGACTAAACAAAGGTCATTCAAGTAATGCATTACCAATCATTTCAAATACAATTACAGTATCAATGAATTCCAGCATTCATATAACAATAACAAACTTCGATAAAAATTTATGCCAAAAATTAAAAAAAAAAAAAATAAGAAATCTCACTGCTAAGAACTTTAGAAAAATCTCGCAGAGAAAAAAATGATACATGGTAATGATAGGTATAAAATAATTGATCTATCATAATTATGATCAATTCGGAATTGTTATCAATTCCAAAAAATTCATTAAAAAATCTTTTTTTCCTTTTCTTCTCTTTCCCTCTCTTTTTGTCTTATAATTATTCAGCTATATAGATAAAACATGATAAGAAGAGTACAATCAAAAAATTCCGTAAAAATACAAGGGGTATTCAACACAAAATAATAAGAAAATTAAAATAAGGATGAAGAAAGATTCTAATTTATGGTTAAACAAAATAACAAATGTAATTTGGAGAAAACAAATAACAAATAATTTCATTTTTTTACATTTTCATTTTAGCAAAAATTTTAATGGCAGAAAATTTGATGATTTTAATTCATATCAACAAATATTTTACATAATTTTTGCATAAAGTCACACATAAATGTTCATAATTTACACAATTAAATCGATAGCAAAGTTGATCTTCTTTCTCAAGGATATTTCAAAATAAACAGACCGGTGACAACATTGCTTTCTTTACAAGACAATGATGATAATACTAAATTACTAATTTACAAAAATAGTAACAACAGGCAGTAATATTCTCTACTTTGAATATTTGAAGAATGAAAATATAAGGCGTTATTCTCTTTTTACCGCCTTTTCATAAAATACTAACATATACTTAAGCTACCTAAGTTAACATATTTCAATTTTCAGCTCTGAGCATTTAGTGTATTTAAGAAAGATTCCAGGTAGAAGATTTTGAAAATAGTCCACAATCCTCAACCATCCTGTTGCAAGGAATTCAATCAATGCCTACAACTCTCCTAAAATAAAATAACAATGATACTAAATTATATCATGCTAATATGGTATACACTTTCATGATTGCTAATTAATTAATATAAAGCATTATGAGAAATTTTCGTTTACTACACAACTGTAACCTTGAAAGCTCACGATCAAAAATCATTAATATTTCTGAAATGAAAACGAAGATATATTTCGCAGAAATGCTTTCTTTCCAAAATTTCAGCAATTATTGTCTAAATCTCAGTAATCATCTTCACAACAGCTAATTCAGCTTCTCGAGGCGTTCCACAATAAGCCGACTAATGATATCACTATTCTCTTTGTAATTTGCAAACGAATTCACAGATGGTCGTACTGAAAGCAAATCACGCAAACGATGCAATGATTCCAACGTACCAACTGCCGAAACAATAACACGGTCTAAAAATTTACATAATCCATTGATTTTTTCAAGATTCCATTCAAAGCCATAGATATTAAAATTATTTTTAATTTATAAATATAACTTGTATGAAACGTAAGAAATAAATTTCATAAAAAAAAAGTGGAATACCAAAACTAGTCAATGATAATCTTTAGGACGATCCATAAAATACTAAATTAATACTAAATTAATGATATCAGTACTAAATTAATGATATCACTGCCGGTAAAATATTTGAAGTTAATTCAACATAAAATCAATCTAACGTATGCATGTAAACAAAGAAAGATAAAGGTAATTTACGGAAACTGAAAAAGTAGAGAAAGTAATGAGTGAGGTAAGGTTTACTAATGTAAATATTAGGCAGTCTGACCTTTCCTTCGGTGTGTAGCTCGTCGCATTTGTAAATATTTCACACCAGAATGCTTATGCACTTTTCTACGAAATTTAGCCAAATGCATTGGTGATTCAAGAGGTAATTCGATCATAAATGGTTCAATTTCAATTATTCCGAACTGAAGAGATTCCACGTTTACAATATATTTTTAGAAAATCGAAAAGGAGTTTGCTGATTTTATTCTCCAATAATTATTTTCGCGAAAATAAAATAACGTTTAATGAAATTAATCAATATGTTAACTTACAACTTTACGATTTACTGAATCGTTATTCCTGCATCCTTTGTCATTCATTGTTACACAATCAAATTTTCCTGTCAAAGCTATACCAAAAAAAGTCTTCAAAGCAGCCTGAAAATATGAAAATAATACGAAGTATTCTCTCCCCTTATGTTATATTTGTTATACGGTACCTCGAAAAAATCTACAATAGGAATCAATGCTTACAAAATTGTAAGAAAAAACGAATAAATAAGGAAGAAAAATTCTAGTTGGTAGCAGTATTCTATAAGGCTAAAAATACTGTATTCCTAACATATTCTAATCACGATAAACTGAATGAAGCAAACATGAGAAATGGATATATTTTTAATATTGATATAAATTATACTTCATTCAATTTTATCCATTGTCCTCGTAGTAGCAATGAATGATATCCAATATTCCGAAAATTCAACATTTTTAATGTTTGCATAGTACGTGAACTAAGAAATTTGAAAAATTTTAACAAGCACACACCAATACCACCAATAAGACTGCGTAAATCGCACGTCAAATGCGAATTGTTATCAACAATTTCTTTTGTCTGGAAACTGATAATTACTAGTCTGTGGAGGAGATTGAAAGCAATGAAATGATAACAAAATTTCAGATAAAGGTATTTGTGTTTGCAGAAATTTTCAAAATTTTGAAGAATTTTCAATCTTGTCAAACGTTAAAATTCATTTCACCTCTTCTAAAAATTGTACTTGCAAGACATCTTTGTCATCGGCATAATATCCAAGGCCAAACTGTATGAACAAAAGGCAAATGTGAACAGCTTTTAATCTTTCTTTTAATAATCCATGAAGAGTAGCCCATTTGATAAGAATATAGAATAAATTTTCAAGACCTGCATATGCTTGTTCAAAATTATTAATGTGCGATAAAACAACCAAAAAATAACATTTATCTTTTATAAAATTTCGAAAATTATCTTCTCTTTCTTTACAATTTCTTGAAATAATTGGTTTCTTCGGTTTGCAATTTTAGAAGTAAATGTTTTCCAATACATATTCAAATCTTAATAATGTGATTAATTTTGCAATAACTATTACTATTAGTTTTTTTTTTCTGAAAAATGTACCTTTGTAACGGCTACAGTATGGTCCAAGAATACAAGCAGCTTGTTTTATCTTCATTATGTATGATACAGTCCATTTCATATCTTCTGCATTTGTTATACAATAATTCTCGATAAACTGTAAGTTCCTTCCGATTAATTCTAATTTTAAAAAGAAAGATAAACACTTCTGAATCTGTTAGAAAGGTCTAAATTTGAAAATTCAAAACTTAAATTAACCTCAGATGCGCTTTCACCCAATGGATCCAATGACTGCATAATTGGTTTGGCGCGTCCCAATCTTACTTCTTGTTTAACGTGGCATAATATATCCCAAACAAGCCAGCCGAATGACAAAATCCGATATGATGTATCCATCGATGCATTCCCTGTGAAGTAATGATGATAATAATAAACATTAATAATGATTGCTATCAGAACAATAATTCCAATACTATTACTTTGATTTATAACAGTAGTAATTACTGTTATCATGGTGATTATTATAATTAATGCAAACAACAGCTGCGACACTTATCATAATAAGAATTAAATTTAGTTAGCAACTTAAAAATGTCAATTGTCGAACTACTTCAGAGTTCACTAGTTCTAAGCAGTGAGATTCCAAAATTGATGATAGGTCATATAAACGAACTGTAATTAATTGAACAGAAAAGAACAAATGAACAAATACTTACGATAACAAAGAATGTAATATGCCGATGCTTTTCGCTTCATATCCAAAGATGGATGAATACAAATACGTCGTTCCTGTGCATTACCGCTTTGATTATCGTCATAATCGGGTAATGTGCTCTCCAAAAACCCACCAAATTCGTCAAAAAAACGATGACGATATCTAGATTCAGAATGTAAAAAATTGAAATTGGTAAAGAAATTATTAATCAAAATAAACGTCGTTGATTTTTCAATTAGCTGAAATTTAGAAGGTTTACTGAATAAAATATTCCAAGAGTTAGGCATCAATTGTTTGCTATCTTAGTGGCTCATTTTATTTTTTTAAGCTACAAATTTTGGAATTTGAAAAAAAAGTACGGATAGAATTGAAGAAATTTAAAAAAAATTACGCTCTAAAAACAGCCGAAACTTTTTTCTCAATTATATGATTTGTATTGTAGAATGACATGTCATCAGTATCACGATCACTGATTCTATTTCGAATAACGCTAATAAAACCAGAAAATAACTGTCCTTCATCTTCGATGCCATAATTTTCCATTATTGACTGCAACAATTAATTATATTGAAACAAATCAGACGCAAAGTATGATATTAAGAGATAATGATGGATGATCGAAAATTATACATACTTTAAAACCATGAGAAAGCGCCCCCGAAAGATATCTCCATTGAAAACATCGAGAAAATCTAACCCTTATGTGTGAATGATAAGAATCAAGCTGAATTTTTGCGACATTTTGGTACTGTTCCCAACCAGGATACTCTAAATCCGGATCCAGCATTATCGTTACGCTTCCTTCCATAGCAGCTGTGAGATTCAAAGCATCGTCTAGAAGTCTGATACGTCTGCAAAATTGTGTATATTAGTTTTTTTCTCACAAAAGTTTGGCTTTTTTAAGCAACAGTCACATACAGTCTGAAGAGAAATTTCTAAAATGATAACCTAAAAATGGATACTTTAAATAACTAAACATAGAAGAAAATTCGTGATAATTTCTATGAGAGGTAATAATCATCAAACAAACCTATATAATTGTCCAACTAAACGCGATGAAATGTAACTTGGTTCGTGATTTTTACACATGAAATCTGGCCAACGTTCGGCTCTTTCCGGTGGAAGGATATTTCCATTTTTACCTTGTGTCCATTGCCTTGTTAATGGACTGGGTGCATTGCCCGTTTTCGGGAAATCTACAGCTTTCGAATGCTTTCTTGCTATATTAATGCAAACCTACAAGCAGGAAATCATTTTCTTTCTTTGATTTTTGTACGTGCAATTGTAATCTAATCTGCATACATATTACATGTCTAAATTTAATTTCAAAATTAAAAATTCTCACAGTTATAAAGTTTTGTTAAAAATAATTTTATGATTTGAAAACGAATTATGAGTCAGTCAAAATCCCTGAGAAGAACTCTAGAATTAATTAGAGAGCAAACGGTTCCAAATATGATTAGCACAACATTGCAAAGCATTTCATAAATAATCTAATCTGCATACATATTACAAAATGAATACAAATGATTCCATTATTTCTTGATTCATTTATACTGATAAGAAATGGGTCGCACTTCAGATTAATCAATTCATACCTCACTTGTGATGCCATAAAGATCAGCATTAACTAAGAAAGCATTCGAAATTGTGCCAATTGAATCTTGCTTAATATAATTAACAAAGAACTTTCGCATTTCTAAATCCTTAAAAGAAAAATATTTAAGCAATTTTTTTAACATTAGCATTTAAAAGAAAAATACTTAAGCAATTTTTTTAGGGTTATAAATTCATTTAATGTGTAAAAATGGCTTAACAGCCATCGGTTTTCGACGATAACTGCAAATGTTAATTAATATGAAAAGAATTATTTCATGATTAGTCGGATATCAATAAAATACACAAACCACTTGTTCCTCTTCAACGATTTTATTGTCCGATGCACTCTTTGTAAAATCCAGCGGTGGTTCATTATGTTCAAACATTAATTCCGGATCCCATATTACCGAATATTCATCACCATCTAAGTCTGACCCTAAATTAAGCAACTATTAGTAAAATAAAATGATAAATTACAAACGGCCAACTGATTTTTTTGAAATCAAATTAAAAAACAAACCAGCCATCTCATCCGGATGCGGTCTTGGTCCATGCTGTGGAAAAACGACAACGTCTACTAAATGATGCAATTCAGGAATATCAACTGCTTCAAATACTCGTACATCACCAGCAACAATACAAGGATTTTTTGTTAACATCACTTTACCTGAAAAAAAATAATAAAATAAATTAATAAGAAACAAATCAAAATTTTTTTCGTATAACAATAAAATCTATGAATATAATGGCTATACTTTGACAAATTTTTCATACTTACCGACTAAAATAATTTTTGCAGCAGATTTGGATGGTGTTTTAAGCCAAATACTCCTAGTGCACTGCACAAAAACTTGACCCCATTGCAACTGACCCGTTTCGTCCATTACACCGAACATTGAACGACCAAAATGTGGTGGTACTTGAATTTGTACTTTAGCAATCAATTTTTCTAAAATGATACGAAAATTTTTGAAAGGTCTATTTAGAGATATCATGAATGAAAAATTTGTGATTAATTCAATGGACATACTTAGAGTACATTTGATATTTGCTCTAAGCAAGCTTCGAAAGAATGGTTCTTGCGTTAAGGCAAAACCACGTGCAAGTGTTAGACGTGAAACGTTGACACGCCACGGTAATTCATTAAGTTTTTCACGGCACCTAAAAAAATTGCTCGTTTAACTTATTTTAATTTTACATTAACTTTACATTCATGTCCAAGTACTGATTCAAAAAATTAATGGAGGAAATGAAGTTCGTTTAACTTTTTGCCAAATCAAATGTTTAACCGATTTTTGTGTCAAGCATTATTACAAAAAATGAATAATAAGCAAGAAACTTTTCTTCGCTCATTAACATATCAGCTAATTGTGTCATTTGTATATCCAGTAAGTCATGTATGCGTTTTCTAATTCGTTCATGCACGGAAAAACCTTGCATTCCACTAACCTGCAAAAATACTTTTAAATATTCTTTACAATGCAATATTTATTGCTAACTGCTATTAGCACGGAAAATATTAATCTTATGCTCAGAAGAAAGCTTCAATCGACAATTCTGCAACAATTTTATTTAATCAAAGTGTTACCTAAAAATTATTTTGGATTGCTTGTTAGGATAAGTGCTTATTTATCAAATAATGCACTATTTGTCATGATATTTCCATGGCAAGTAATGCAACTGCATAATCTTAGATCAACTGTATAGTCTTAGATATTAATGAATCAAACTGTACTGTTTCACAAATGTGATGAATTAAAAATGACTTCACGGTACTCCAAAACTAAATTATAACTGCATTATAGTGAATGCATTTCTAATAATTTGCACGATAGGATAGAACAGTACACCGTCTGCTATGATACTTTTAATATATATCTCTTAATTATATGCAATAATGCTTGAGTAATTGTCCCAAATACTTAACGATTTGTTTTGTATGATTAATTGTAAATTTCAAATATTTTGATTTGGTTTGCACTTATTGTTGGAAATTACCAATACTTGTTTAACACTGCAAAATATTATGTTTTGTCCAAATTTTCAAAATTTCATAATGTTGTATAAAATGAGTTTGTCAACAGTAAGATCTGTTTTTTTCGCTGATAGTTATGATTTAAGATTTATTTCACAACTACCTGATCCAAGATAGATATCATTGGACGATTGAGGCAAACCGATGTCGGTGTCGAATATTTCACAATTTCAATGTACTCGTCTCGTGGTGCTTTGAATTTATCCTGCATTAATTAATAATTCTTTTTTTTAAAACTGATTACAGCGCAATAACTAAAATTAATTTGTTTCACACAAATAATTCCTTCAAAACTAGGTAAAATCGGATTTATGAGAAGTAACGGAGTGGGTTATTAGAACGGTAAAGGAAAATTATGGAAAAAGTGAAGACTAGATGGCGGATTACCTGCGATGGACGAAATAAAACAGCTAAATCATTTTGCTTATTTGTCATTTTGTTATTATCAACTACATTGTTAGCAGCAGCCCAGTGTTTGCGCTGATCCAAACTAGGGTCTACTGACAGAACACCTTTAATGCCACGATGACGAATCTGGAATGTTGACAAAATTAAACCTAAAATTTAGAATAAAATGGTGGACATATTCTTACTGAATGGAAAAATTGCCAGTAAATGAACCTTTTAATAATATACTAGAAGAACCAAGTGGAATGTAGCAATTATTATGCTGATTATATTAAGGTAAACCTGATAGCAGCTAGGAACTGATGTACCCAATCCTATATCCAAAGCAATTTTTTCAGCAAACTCTTTTGATACTTTGCCAGCACCATCCGAAAATATATAAAAAGCTTGATTCGTATCTCGCCCACCAATGACGTCGTAGGTTTTGTTATATTTGTGACGCTTTAATGTCACCGTGCATCGCTGAAAAAAACAACAACAGATTGATCATGAAAGAAATAGCTATTTCCAATAAAGAATAGTGATATTATAGAGAAGGAAATACAGGGTTGTTGTGAAGGAAAAACAGAATTGCATTTAATTAATCCTATAGGTACAATAACAGTATGACAAAGTGAAAAACCATACGTTATGGCAGATGGATTTATGGTAGTCACCTATTTGATTAGATCTCTTGTAAAATCAAAATATAATATGTGGTTTACAACCTTTCAGCTTCAGTAAAATAAGCAATTTACCTCATTCTTGTTATATTTATAATCAATCTAAAATTGATTAATTATTTGCTTGAAAATGATAAATTAAACCTTTGCTTGCGTAAAACACTGCCCCATTCGTGACATCATTTTCGGTATATTACAACGATCAAACTTTCCCAACTGTTCACGGATTTTATGCGCTTGCCCACCTTTTCCGTCATCGTAGAAGTAACACCCGTTATCTCGCATTTGTGAATTTGATGATCCAAGATAAACAAATGTCGATCTGTAACCGGAAGTAATCGCATAAAGTTGATAGTTATTAAAACGATATAATCATCGGAATTGACCCTGCCACATTAAATTATGCTTACACGCTTAATATCCTTGATGATTTGAAAGGAAAATAAGAACGATGCTAGGCGTAGGCTAGAAATGTAACATATTATTGTCGAAAACAATGACAAAAAAAGATTAAGCTTCCAAATTTCAAATTTTATTAACAATATTCTTAATATGAATAACATCTGTAAATAATATTACGAACTTCAAATATAATGGTATGAAATAGTTCGATACCTTAAATCATATTTGAAATAAACTTGTTTTCACTTCCAAACAATGTTTCGAATGAAAACTTTCAGCCTAATCATATGAAAAAAAATTGCGTAACTTTATGTTTTAGCTTCTTCCCATCATGAGGAAAAATAAAAGTTAAACGAAATAAAGAAAAATACCTCCAATATAAATACCACGTGAAAGTGTATTAAAAGTTGTTGTTTGTATTAAAAAGAGACCAGTAGTATTTAGCCTTAACGGTGTACCATCATCATCTCGAAATTGTATCCGTAATGCACCATTCCCATCTTTATCAAATGTTCGAAGTACTCGATTTCCCATTAATAATTCGGGTACAACAAGCAGTACTCGAGTTGGCGTTATCACTACCTCAAATTACACACTTACTGAATAAACAAATAAATACATGAACAAATGTTTCAACAAAGAGATACATCATTGATGTTATTTACCTTATATTAGATATTACAATGCAATAATTCCTTTAGTATCCTTTTAGTATTCAAGTCGAATTTTTAGATTTTTTCATAAATAAACTAATTTTGTAATTGCTACAATAGAAATATTTGCTGTTATTAATGGGATGGTCGTTTAAAGCTAACCTTTCGCACACGTTGATAGCCTTCACGCTTATTCTCTTGGTAAATTTCTTCCAAAACATCTTTTTGTCCTAATAGACTATTTCGAATTTTTTGAAATGATGTAAATAAACATGGCACTTCTTTGGTTTCATCAATCATATTTATCAATCGTTCCAACGCTTCTAATGTTAGCTGCAGTAAATAAGAAAAATTAAATAAACAATCCAAACAATCTTTCCCTATCTAAATGGTCAAAAGAAGTGTTTCGTTTCTTCCTTTTATCCACTCGCGAAAAGTTCATTAACATTTTCACAATGTTTTGAAGAAAAGAAAATGCTAATAAGCCAAATTTAACGGATGTTTTATGTGGGATTTGATTTTGAAAAGAATTCAAATAGCACTTCCAGGTTATTGCAAAACTCATTAAATTAAAAAATTATAGCAATATTTGAAATTTGATTTCCTGTATAAAATGAATTCTTCATACCTCTTCATTATCCTTAAATCTTTGCAAAATCATATCAATAAAGGCATCACGCGTTTTATTATCTATCTGAAAAAAAAAAACTATATATAAGTGCCAGTTTAATTTTTCAGTATCATCGAAGAGTTACAATTGAAAATTGATTAAAAAAGGAGAGAAAGAAATCCATACAAGAATCCTATAAATATTATTTGGCTGTTCATTAGCAATTACTTTTTAGAATTAGTGTCATCAATATGTTGTGTGCTAATTAAGGGTTTGAATTATTCAAGTAACAAAGCTAATGTATTTGCTATTAACTGAAGTTGATGAATACTGTTGAAATCTTTTGGATATAGAACAAACAGTGTGCATTATACATGCATAAAATACCGTAAAAATTTGAAGCGACTTTTTAAAACAATAACTAAAATTGATTCAACAAAAATATCATTAAATTTCAATTATTTCCGACAATTTATCCCTTGCAACGATAGTTGTATATCAAAAGAAAGCCTTCTAAATTAGTATTTTAGGGTTATAAAGAAAAAAAGATCATCTTGTTAGACAGGATCACTCTTTTTCGATGTAAATATTGTCTGAGCAATTAATTCGCTTTGCTAAACTGATTTTTCTAAGGCAAATTTACCAAAATTTGATCTTTTACAACGGCACCACGTGAAAGCAATGCAGCAATTAAATATTCTAAGCCAAATACATCACATTCTCTAATCTTCCGTTCACATTGAGCATCAACACGTGGAAATGGTGGTTCATAGATTCGTTCATTACCAACAATAACATCATCACATGCATATGGACGATGATCGCATCCAATGAAACGTACAGGTGTATCCACATAACTGCAGTAACAACTTAATCATTGCATTGTTTGCTAAATCAAATAGTTAACAGAAAGGATAGGAAGGAAAGAAAAAAGATGAAAATGGAAATATATTGTGTTGAAAATAATTAAATAATTGTTGAAAAAGTAAAGATAAATTTTCAATCAGAAAAAAGAAGAAAGACATACTCTAACGAGCTGAAATATCGAAATGCTAAATTTGCAAATTCGATCGATAATACTGCTCGTACACGAAGCCGGCTAAGTAACTCATACAAGATATGATTCTTAAAAATAAACTTCATAATTCTTGAATATAAAAATAAACCTAAAATTAAGGTATAGTTTATAAAATTTTATAAAATCATGGTAAATTAGGCTAGATATTTAAAATTATAGGGTAATGTACTACTGCTGACATGTAAAAATTAACAGATGTAATAACGAAATGTCGTTGAATTTCAACAGCTGCAATATTTAAATCTATATTTTACTATCAATATAAAAAGTATTACTGGAATATGTTGTCGTAATTGCAAACAGAAATATGGACTTTCATTGATAGCTGCACAGTTGTCTCTTCTGTCATCATTATTTTCTGGAATACTCCTAAAAAAGTGAATATTATCTCTAAAAGGACAAAGTTGATATTCAAAGCATTATAATAGTAATTGGTTCCTTAAATTGACTGATTTAGTTGGATCCTTAGTTCGACTGGATTAACCATCGATATAATTGTAATTAGATGGTTACAAAAGACTACAAAAGATTAATATTAATCTATCAAAATATTTAAGGAAATCCATGAAACGATTCGTTACATCGAATGTTCGAATATTTCTTGATGAAAGTATGCTTAGCTATAATGATGGAATGTTTTCAAATGCTTTACCTCCACCGATTTCCATCACTACCTCCTTTATCCTCATCTTCATCGACTTTTCTCTGATACTTTCGTATTTCAGGTGGATAATTTAAATGAAAATAGATCCGCCTGCCGTATGTACCATTCGGTAATTTGGCTCGTAAATCAACCAGGATACGACGGATTGAAGCATATCGTACCTAGCAATCAATTAGTTTAAAAAAATGCTGTTTGATTTTTCAGTACAATTTTCACAGAAAATTCTTTCCTTTAGAGTTAGAGCAATTCCTGAAGGAACGAAAATTTTAAAATATGAAGAAAAAAACGTCAATCCGTTGCGAAATAAATATGATTATTACCTTCAAGGCAACTGCTGAACCAGGAATAAAGGAAGGATTTGAAATTTTACCGTTTTCATTATTTTTTGACCGGAATCCACCTAAAATCAATTAGTTACACCAATTAATTAAATGTAACTACGCAATTGAAGATTCGAAAATCACTGAAAATTAAGAAGAAAAGAAATCCAAAACCTATTTACGCACATACCGTCTAAAATAGCAAATCGAACGATAAACATATCACGATCATGCTCGAAATCAACAAACATCGGATCAACAACTGTTGGACAATTTCGCAAAAAGCGTAAAACTTGTAAACTATGGAACTGCTCCAATGGTGTTCCCACATATGCTGCACGAGAAAAATGTGATAAAAATCGTCCTTTGAATAAGCTGCCAAAATGAAATGCTTCCAAAGGTAAAAACATATGCGCTGCTCTGAAAAACTTGTGTTAATTACAATTATAAAATGATCCAATTCATATGATACTATTTCGAATTCAGAAACTTTGCAATTTGAAATTTCAGATCCCAAATTTTCTGAAAATATTAGCAATAACGGCAAAAACAACATCACAAATATCATTTAGCAAGAATCTAACAAATCTTGGCAATCCTCTTTCTTTCCTTGTTTGCATTATCTTTTCCTTCTTATTGTCAATTTTTGTTTGCATTATCTTTTCTTTCTTATTG